ATATATATATATATATATATATATATATATATATATATATATATATATATATATATATATATATATATATATATATATATATATATATATATATATATATATATATATATATATATATATAAAAGATTCAAAGTCAAAAAATCAGAAATCAAAAATCAAAAAGTATTGTTATATTCAATTACTGAAAGAGTAATTTATAAATTTATACAAAAATCAATTTATATTTATCATTCAATAAAAATTATTCATATAAATTTGAAAATGATTAAGATGAATTAACTTACACGTACGATAAGTCGTTTATCGATATCATTCGAAGAAATAGGACTAAAAATAAATATCCATTAGCAATAAATTAACATTTAATTATTATAATATTTAATTGTATTATTAAATTTATTCGCTTCTAAAATATTATTTAATCTGATTTAACTAAATGTAAAACAAATGTTAGTATATTTATATAAATCAAACAATTTACTAATTTATGTTATAGGATAGGTTTTTCTTTTCCGGTTTAATTAAATTAGTTATTACTTAAATGTTACATAAGCAATATTTGATTTGTTAATTCAAATTATAAAAATTATTACCGAAAAAATCCTGTATTTATATCGAATGAAAGCCAATGTAAATAACATGGTATATTGTTATTACGTCTTAAATCTTTTTCCAGAAAAACGAACATTGATGTGGTAACTGTTGATGAGCCAATTATTGCTAATAAGATAAAATAATATAAACCTATAAAATTAAATTTTAAATTCATACAATTAACATTAGTCATTTATCATTTGATGTGCACAAGGAAAGTCATTAATAGAAAAATATAATTGAAATAATATCATGAAATGTTTTTTTTCCTCTCCTTTTTTTGCTTTTTCTTTTCCTTTCAAAATAAAACTCTCTTAGTACAAGGATAATTTCTTCTAGAATTGATTCCTTCCGGATCCGGAATTGATTAAGATTTTTTAAAAAAAATTAAAAATAAATATTTTAATTTTTTAAAGATTAAGATAACATTTACTGACAAATCATGATGCTAATATAATGGTAGCATATATTAAACATTAATTTAGGAGAAGTGAGGGATGATAAGTAATTCTCTAAAATTTTTTTTATCGCTTAGTGTGAAAATGTTGCAAAAAAAAGAAAAAAAGAACAAAAAAGTGTATTTTAATGAAATTCAATTATCACTACTTCATATTTTTTATCACCGCCTCTTATCATTATCATCTATTCTTATCTTTATTTCTTGATACTTTCGATTAATTTTTTTATGAGCTTTTGTCAAAAAAAAAGAAAAAATATTTGTGGTAATTCACGTAACACGGAATTATTTTTTGTAAAACGAAATTCACGTAGCGTAAAATTCTTTTGCACAAAAAATATTTCTGGAAATCTTTATTGTACAAATACTTTCTGTAACTTTGTAGGATAACCGGAAAAAAAAAAACAAACAAAAAAAAAAAACCTCAATTTCCACAAATACTTTCTGTAACTTTGTAGGATAACCGGAAGAAAAAAAAAACAAACAAAAATAAAAAAAACCTCAATTTCCTTTACCAAAATAATAATTAAAATTCTAACCAATTAATGGAATACCAGAGAATGAACCACGTCCTCTACGTGAACTTGACATGCTAAATTTTGGCATATCTTCAACAATTGCAAGCAATATGACACTCATACTCATTAATGTCATTATACCAAGTCGAAATTTTGCATCCCTTAAATTTAATGAAAAATTAATTAAACTTAATTTTTAACTTGCTTTTTTTTCCTTTACAATAACAAATCGTAATTTATATGATTCATAAAATTTTATTGCACCTGATCAAAATGCTAAGTTACCTCATTTTACCGCTTGTGCTTGGTGTATGAAATCCGATGACAGCTACTAAAGTGATAATTGTACTTGGTATAACTAAGTTAAAAACTGAAAATATACAAGTAAATTAATCAAAAATAATTAAAAATTTTCATGAACGAAAATTTCTTAAAAATAAACAACCTTTTTTCTTTTCTAAAATTAAAGTTTAAATAAGTGTAAAGGTGAAAATTAATGTTTAATGCAATAAACATACCGTAATAGAAGCTTTGTCGAATTAATACAAGTTCCATAATAATCATTTCCCAGAATAATGGTGGATCCAAATAATCATAGAGGAAACTATCGGATACGATATTGCTATGACTCTTTAAAAATTAAAAATGATATTTTAAGATTGGAAAGATTATATATTAAAAATCCTGATGAATTTATGAAAATATTGTAAAAAGACAAAACTTTAAGGATACGGTAAACCTTCAAAGATGTAATGAAATTTGGGATTTACGAACAAATTGTAAATTAAATTAACCATTTTAATTTTCTTAATTTAATGAAAATAAATTGTGAGAGAAGAAAAAAAGGGAAGAATCATAAAGATTAAATAATGTATCAAAAATAAATTTTAAAATAACCGAATCAAGTTGCCATTCTTGATTATCATAGAAATCGATCAAACTGAGATGTTTGGAATATAAGGCGTATTTAATTGAATCATTTGAATGTGCCCATGAACCAAACAATAAGGTGCATTGTTGACTGAATGAATGAATTTCAAAAATTTGTAAAAAGATATAAAATTGAAAAAAATAAGAAATAATTTGATAAAATATTTTTTACAAATTATGTAATTTTTTAAGAAATTTCAATTATTGAATTATAAATTATTATTAATTAATTAATGGAAAAAAATAAAACATTCTTTTATATCTAATTTAATGAAAAAAAAAATTGAATCAAACAATTTCAATGTTCAAACTTTTTTTTTTTTAAACAAACAAATACGACACGGCTAATTAAAATTCTTCATTCAACATTACTTTGTTTATAATTTAAAAAGATAATTGAAATCAATAAAATTCATTTTATTATTGTACATACATTTTAGAGGTTTAAAATTAATTAAATTTAAAATTGAAGCAAAATATAAATTAGAAAATCTTACTTCTCTTTTTTTTCTTGTGATTTTTACTATAAATTTGTTAAAAATGAAACTAACATATCGAAAGGGAAAAATTTGACATCCAATTTGCATAATGATTCAGTCGAATAAGGCAAATAATAGCGAACATTTCCGGTGTAATTAACACGAACATCATTATTGCTCAATAATTTCACTGCTTGATTATAATGATGGCTAGAATTTTAATTTGAAATTAATTGCTGAAATTAATTCTTTCATTCTTTTTATCGTCTCAAATTACAAAATTTATCGAAAATTTTAAATTGAATATGTAAATACTTTTTTTTGCAATTCTGATACTAATATATACTTAAAAAATTACGTAATTATAAATTATATAACTCTAATATAATAATTACTATATATATTCATATATTAATATATAATAACTATCGTAATATATATTTATATATAAATTCATATGTTAATATAATAACTATTACAATATATATTCATATATTAATATATAATAACTATCGTAATATATATTATATATTAATTCATATGTTAATATAATAACTATTACAATATATATTCATATATTAATATATAATAACTATCGTAATATATATTTATATATAAATTCATATGTTAATATAATAACT